TAAGATTTTATTTATTTATTTATTTGACAGAGAGAGACAGCAAGGGAGGGAACACAAACAGGGGGAGTGGGAGAGGGAGAAGCAGGCCTCCCGCCGAGCAGGGAGCCCGATGCGGGACTCGATCCCAGGACTCTGGGATCATGACCTGAGCCGAAGGCAGACGCTTAACAACTGAGCCACCCAGGCGCTCAATCAAGTAGCATCTTTATCTATTTCTATGTCTTTAGTAGACGTAAGGCAATGCTCGACACATAACATGCTCAAAAGCCCTTTGCAGTAAGGGATGAGCGGGTGAAGCGAGCCCGGTTCAATCTGACCTCTCTCCTAACCCTTCATCCATGTCTCCGGGCTGGGCTGTGGGTTCAGTCAAGAGACAGCTGACCCAAAGCCTACAGGGGCCTTTAACTCTCAAGAACGCAGCACAGCAAAACTCGGAGCCCAAGGGCAGGCAGGGCATGAAGGCACCGGAAGGCGAAGCGCGGGGCGTGCCCGCTGACCCTCCCCGCTTGCGCACTGACCAAGCATCGCGCGCCTTCTTGGTCTCCGGGCAGGCGCAGCAGGGCTTCAGCGGCTTCTTCTCCTGTGAGTCAGACGGGGTAGGGCTTGCGGCCGTCAGACCAGGCATCTTTGAAGCCTAAAGCAGCAACCAGCACCGCCACCCCTACCCTCTCCCAGGCTTGGCGAAGGCCGATTTGCCCGCAGTCACTTCCGACAGTGGCTCTACAAGGGACAGGAAGTCCTGCCTCTCTCAGACCCGGAGGGAATAGGAAGGCGAGAAAAGGTAAAAAGTGGCGCCTGCGCAGGAGAGGCTAAATGAATTATTAAGGCGAGGGCGCCTCTTCCGCGCAGGTGCAGAGAGGCGGGATGAAAGGGCAAAGTTTGTCAATCAACTGGGGGATGACTCGAAAAGGAAGAGAGAAATGAGGTCATATTTCTTAACCTCTCCGCCTAGCAGTGGAAAATCGAAGCCGAAGAAGGTGAAATGACTTGTCCACGCTAAACATGAGAAACCACTAATGAGAGCCAGCTCCACCCAGTAACGGATTAGTTCCGCATGTTTCCTGTTGTATTATCTGCCCTCCTCTCCCTCCGCATCCCCACCTCCACCTCCGTCTTTTTCTGATTTAGTTAAAAATGATCAGCAAAGACATTTGAACAATGCAATCCACAAGTGTAGGGAAAAAATTCTCCTAATATTCATACCGTATACCATACACTTTAAATTCTTAACGAATTGGTGTTTATAGCTCCCTTTCTAACTTACTTGATTTCAGTATGAATTGTTCCATCATAGGGCAAATATACCAGGTAATAAAATTGAAAAATGATTTTCCTTGGCATTTCTTGAATTCGATTGGTATATAAGTAAACTGGCACCTACTATTTGCAATTGTGGTTTTTTTGTTTTTGTTTTTATTTTTCCCGCAGAGAATTGTTGGAGAAAGGGAATGAACTTATTTTTTGAAGCAGGACTTCAAGGCATTGTTCAGATAGCTGCCTAGTGATTGATACTTTGGGTAATCAGACTTTCAGTATCACCTAACAAAGGTTTGTTTCTGTATTTCAGAGATTTAGCTCAGGGAATTCATTGGTATGTCTGTGAACTGGTGCTATATGGAAGTAATTTCTTTTTTTAAAAAAGATTTTATTTATTTAAGAGAGAGAGAAAGCATGAGAAGGAGGAGGATCAGAGGGAGAAACAGACTCCCTGCTAAGCAGGGAACCCATGCAGGACTCGATTCTGGGACTCCAGGATCATGACCTGAGCCGAAGGCAGAGGCTTAACCAACTGAGCCACCCAGGCGCCCTAGAAGTAATTTCTCTATGTGTATTTTCCAAATTATTAAAACCATCCCTATTTTGTCATCTAAAAACTTTTAATGAGCATGATTTTTACCTCATTATGGATTGGTATGTTTAAAAATACAACATATTGTCCTTATGTTCTCCTAAAATAACCCTTATCTACCATTATTAGTTCTTTCAACTAGGTGTTCACTACTCTTGTTTAATATCTTGCTATTTAAACAGTGTTTCTTGGACTGCCAACCTCAACATCAGTTGGAAAGGTAATGTACAATAAACATGGCTGCACAAATCAATGCGAAAAAACAAATGGAAGAAAATTAAATACTACATCAAAAGGTGGGGCTCTGGATGCATTAAAGGTGTACATGTGAAAGGTCAAACTAAGAAATTAATAGAAGGTAGTGATAATAGAGGAGCATATCTTTTTTTTTTTTTTTATCATCCCAACTTTAGGGTGCCTGACTGGCTCAGTCAGTGGAGCGTTTGACTCTTGATCTCGGGGTCATGAGTTCGAGCCCTACGCTGGGTTTAGAGATTACTTAAAAATAAAATCTTAAAAAAAAACCCATCCCAACTTTAATAGCATGTCTCTGTTACTTAGGACCCCAAAATACATTAATGTAAATTTGGTGAAGGTTATCTTTATACTGAGAAGGGAGGTACAACCTATTTGACAACATTTCAAAAGCACAGATTGTGTCAACACAAATTGAACAAACCATTTAGAATCTCTAAAAGTAAAGAGTTTTATTTGAGCCCGAGTTAAAACAGCTGCCCAGGAAACACACTCTTCACAGGGAAGAAAGTACTGTGGAGAATGAACAGTTTTTACAGAGTTACATACTTTTTTTCATCTTGTAAAAGCTCAAAAGATTACAGGTTAGCATATAGGCAGGAATGACGAGTTTTATTGTAAAGGAATGCAGGGAACAGGAATGTTGATTGATATCTCAAGGACAAGAGGATTTTTCCTTTAGGCTACCTTTCCTTAGGCTACACAAGCACACGTACAATGCATGTATGGCAGGCAATAGTCAGGCCTTTGTTTTGAACAAAGTTTATGTACAGTCATGCTAACTTAGGAAGAAATCTAAAATGGCTTCCCTTATATATCAGGCCTTTAGAGAGTTTTTCTCTCATCATCAGTAAAAGGAAAAAAAAAAAGATGAAGTTAATTACATCAAAACAAAGGCTTGATGTTTTCCGTAGGACATGTTAAATTAATTAAAGAAGCCATCAGACTGATGTAGCCCTAATGCTGCAGTGGCCTACATTAAGCAAACCAAAAATTAAGCCTATAAATACCTCAAGGTTACAAAATCAAAATGCTAAGGACAACCATTCACAAACAGCCAACTCAAGTTTAAGCTGTAGCCAGTCAATAATTTGTTTACTTTTCTTCCGCCTTCTCTCTGTAGAAGCCTCTCTCTGAGCTCCTGTCAGTGGAGTGAGTGTTCCTAACCGTTTCTGCTGCCCAATTTGTACCAATTCTTGTTCAAACAAACTCTTAAATTTTTATTATGCCTCGGTTTATCTTTTAATAGAAACTATAGACAAAGTTAACACATAGATGATGAATTGGTCAAAGATACTTGAAATATCTAAATCCAACAAGGGATTGATGTCTAGAATATTTAAGGAACATATAGAAAGTAACAATAAGAGAATAGCAACCTCAGTAGAGAAATGGAAAAGGGTTATGAACAGACAGTATTAGAAGCAGAAATGTTCAAGCAACTTTTTTGTTTGCCTACTTACTGCAAGAGGATATGTAGAATATATAGAAGAAAGAAACTGAGGCCAGCACTTATAAAAAGAGCTATTCCAAACAAGTATGAATCATAGATATGGAGAATAAAACAACAGTGAAGTAGACTGACAAAAATTAGAAAGCTGAATAATGCCAAGTACCTGTAAGGATGTAGGAATCCTTCCAGGTTACTGTTGGGAATGTGGAATGGTCCTGCCATTTTGGAGGGAAGTTAGGCAGTATCCAGTTAATTTAAGAGTAGATGCATATTCTGTGACTCAGCAATTCTGTTTCTGGATCTGTATTCCAAAGACTTCCTCAGCAAGTCCATAAGGGAACATATATGGGGATAATTGTCACAGCATGTTTATGGGGCAGAGAATTGGAGGCAATGTGGGCATTCATCACTGCGGGGGTGGATAGGGAAATGTAGTGCACTAGGCACATACTAGAAGACATTGACAGCATACACAAAGTAACATGGACACATTTTTAAAAGAGTGTGGGTAGTGAAAAAAGTAAGAAAGAGAATAGATACATATCCCAATACCATTTACATAAATTTAAAGAAGGGGTACAAAACCCCAAAATACACATAAGAAGGCATATATGTAAAAAGACTTGCTTTAAACAGAATGGTTGTTTATGAAGGAAGGTAAGTGGGGGAAGAGAATGGGAATAAATGCAAATAAAGTGATCTTTCAGGGACCAATGATGACAATGTGTCATGCACAGAGCAGGATAAAGAAGGCAATTATCCACACGTGAAAAACAAGGAAAACTATGCTGGTAGCATCCCACTACATGCAATTTGGAAAACACTGCTTCGTGGGGTAATAATTGAATTTAATTATTTTGATGTCCTCTTTCATTACCCTTGTAGGTGGTGTTAAACAAGGTAAGTTTTATTCTAAGAGCTTTAGCCGTGTCCTTGCTTTTAAGTAAAAATAATCATTTTGTTATAAAGACATATTGTGAATTTGTAGATGATGTGCTGTGATCTTGTCATACTCATTTTGGTGCCCCAACAGTAGTTAGCAGATGGTAGACACAGCATAAAGTTTTATTCAGGCAAATTATTCCAAAGAAAGCTTTATTTTGCCCTGTTGCTACAAAGAATCTTCAAGTATTTTTTCCCATAGATCTATCTTAAATAAGGAGAGAGACAAAAAGAAAATGTTGTTTGAACTGATTTTTCCCTCTAGTATTGTCCAATAACTCTCATATTGGCACTGATAATTCTTAATAGAGAAGCCAGATTTGTAAGATGGGCCCACTTAAAATGTATAAGCTGTTGAAATGGCAGCATAATCTTCAGTTGTAATGTCTTCCATACACGATGAGTTTGTGAACCATCATTTGATCTTCACAGCAGTTGAGCTTACTATTTACATTATAGATGAGAACATTGAGAGATGGATATGATTTGTTTGTTCAAGGTCACATAACTCGTAAGTGGTAGGCCTGAGACTCAACATCATCTCCTTCTAAGGTCTGTGCTCAATCTACTATCCCACTTCATTTGTCTAAATGCAAGGTGAATATTTCTTATTTTTAAATTAATCATTGATCTCTAATGTGCTACTGAACTTTGGTGTCTAGGAAATCAACAAGGAAGAAAAGAGAAAGAAATATCTGGGAGAATTTAGGGAGTTAAGAGAACCATGTAGATGCAGATTATAGACCAAAATGCTGTAACAGTTTCAGCAATTGAGAAAAGATTTTTCTTGCCCACTCTCCTTCCTTGCTTCAGTGAAGAAAGTGTACTGCAGTGACAACGCTCTGTGATTTCCTCAGGGTAAGCTAGTATTGGCAGGCCTCAGGCAAAGAAGTTGGGTAGCAGCCCCTTCTTGCCCTGTCCCCACTTCCTTTAACAGGCTGTGTTCCACATATTAGCAAGCTCTTAGTTTCCTCCCTGAGCACTGTGACTCTTTTTTTTTTAAATTTTACTTTATTTTATTTAAATTCAATTACTTAACATACAGTGTATTATTAGTTTCAGAGGCAGAGTTCAGTGATTCATCAGTTGAGCAACTGTGATGCTTTAAACCCTTCCAACAACTGCTTCTTCGGGATGGAATATTCTCCTGCCCTTGAAAAAAAGACCAAAAGATAATCCTTTCCAAAATGAAATATTTATGTTATTCATATCCAGCTACTTACTTCTCCTCTTGTTTCAGAATGGTACAGTTAGGGGGCACCTGGGTGGCTCAGATGGTTAAGCATCTGCCTTCAGCTCAGGTCAAGATCCCAGGGTCCTGGGATCGAGCCCCACATTGGGCTCCTGGCTTGGTGGGGAGCCTGCTTCTCCCTCTCCCCCTGCTCATGCTCTCTCTCTCTCTCTCTCTCTCTGTATCTCTGTGTCTCAAATGAATAAGTAAAATCTTAAAAAAAAAAAAATGTTAGTTACCCTACACATGTAGGTTGCTTTTTCTTCTGCCTTTTAATTTATGAAGAGGTAAGCTTTAAGGTTAATGATTGGTTTTAACATAAACACCATTCTTTACTTTTCTTACTCAGTCTAAATGTTGTTAGACTTGTGGGGTTGTTGTTAGAGTAGGCAGTTAGTTAGGTTCTAACAGGATACCTGGAGGCCAGGACTGAGGAAGTCATGGTCAGCTATTGGGAAAGTCAGAGGCCTGTCCTGGCAGCACTCCACAAGAAGCCAGATCTAACCAAACAGGCCTGAGATGGTGGATGCCATGACAGGAAACCCCTGACCAAGTTAGGAAGAAAAAGTGTAAAACACTGCTTCACATCCCAAGTAATAAACATTTTGCCTCTTAGTTAATAACGGTCAATAAAAGCTAGAAACCGAAACCCCCACGGCACACATTGTTCTTGCTATCATTCTTGATCTCACATCTCCACAGGGTACTTTTTACTTTAATAAACTTCCTGCTTCTGTTACTCATCCACTGTGCTTCATGTCTGTCCTTGAATTCCTCCTCGTGACAAGACCAAGAACCTTCGGCAACTCCTTCAGGTCTCGCTGGGTCGGTGGCTCAGGAACCAGGGTCTCCCCAGTTCACCCAGCAATAGGATGGCCTTAGTCTTAAAGGCAAAATAGGAGTATAACACAATGACATTTAGCGTTTCCCATTCTCCCCCAAGAAAAATCTCAAAAACCCACTTCCCCCAAGAAAAACACGACAATTTTAGAGCTGTAACTGGAGATTAAATTGAGAGTAGGTGGTGTGTGGAGACTAAATAATAAAGGATTAGATTCAACCATCTGTTTTACAGAGGCAACTCTGAGGTTGGTTTGATTAGTGCCTTTCATATTAAGTTCTTGCTTCCCAATTCTGATTCTAACCAACAATATTTTACTATTTTAAGCCTGTGGGGCTCTTCACTATTGCTATTGTAATTGCTATATTAATAGGCAGCAAGAGTTGAAATGGTGAGTCTAATGGACTTTTTTATAGTAGAGTAAATATGTTATTGTGTGGTACTGAATGGAAGCATTACCTATGAATGGCACCAAGCAATCATTCTGTGGTTGGCAGCCCTGGTAATGTAACAAGCAACAATTAAGGAAATACTTTCTAAAATCCCACCATGATGAAAGTACTTAGCTATTTTTCATGCCTAAAAAATTCCAGGTGTGGAGACTTTACCACTTAAGGGTAGGAAGTGGATGTTGGTAGAGGAGTGACACCATATGCTGAGAGAGAAGAATTACAAGGCTTGAATTCTCACTTCCCTAGTTAATAAGTTTAGAGGTAATTTTGTACAGTATTTACATTTCTGCCTGCAAATTCCACAGGTAAATATGTACTATATATTATGCTCTATAGCTTTTTAAGAACTCTGAAGGGTTTGAAACTTTACTCTATTTGCCTACTACAGTCCCATGAATGCTAGTAGAAGCCAGCAAACTGCTAGGTCAGAGATAAAGGTAATTTATTACTTACAGCCGTAGCAGCAATATATCAGCATTTTTGTGTCAGTTTGCTGAGCTCCAATTCCCACAGGGTGATGTGAAGAAGGCCAAATGACATCTGCATACATATTGGGTTGCATTACTGGAAAAAAATATAGTGAGCTTAGGAAACCCAAATCTTTAATAATGGGTGGTAAGAACGTCTGCCCTTTGCTCAAAGGGAGACTGACTTTTTTTTCTTTTTAAAGGTTTTCATTTATTTGAGAGAAAGAGTGTGAGAGAGCGAGAGCATAAGTGAGGTGAGGGGCAGAAGGAGAAGCAGACTCCCCACTGAGCAGGGAGCCAGATGCAGGGCTCAATCCCAGGACTCTGGCATATGACCTGAGCCAAAGGCAGACGCTTAACCGACTGAGCCACCCAGGCACCCAGGAGACTGACTTCTAAGGCTCTAAGCAAACCTGCCCTTTGCTCTAGAAATGCACACTATCTCTCTTGTCCAAGGGTGTATCCTACACAAAGGAACAAGGGCAGACAGTATACCCCTTACAAGGCAAGCAGAACATGGCCAACTGTCTTCCAACATGGCAAAGTATAACTTTAATGATTTTTTTAATTAACTAGCACTCCTCTACAATATCAAAGTTACAAGTAAACCACAAGACACAATGTAATTTCATAAAGACGGCACATTATTTCGTGCTGTGTAGCATTACCAAAAACCTAGTGGTAATACACGTTTATTATCTCCGTTTTTAGTTAGGAATCTTTTTTTTTTTTTTAAAGATTTTATTTATTTATTTGAGACAGAGAGAATGAGAGACAGAGAGCACGAGAGGGAGGAGGGTCAGAGGGAGAAGCAGACCCCCCGCCGAGCAGGGAGCCCGATGCAGGACTCGATCCCGGGACTCCAGGATCATGACCTGAGCCGAAGGCAGTCACCTAACCAACTGAGCCACCCAGGCGCCCTTTTAGTTAGGAATCTAGGCGTGGCTTAAGTAGTTCCACTGATTAGGGTCTCATAAGACTGCAATCAAGATATTGGGTGAGACTGTGATCTTATCTGAGGTTCTAATGAGGAAGGATATGCTTTTAATCTCACTCAGGTTGTTGGCAGAGTTCAGTTTCTTGAGTTGTAGGATTGAAGGTTTTGGTTTCTTGCTGTGGGTTGGAGGTTGGCCTCAGCTTCAAGAAGCTTGTTATGTGGGGTTCCCCAACATGGCCACTTGCTTCCTCCAAGCAAGGGAGAGAGTGAGCAACTCCAGTAAAATGGCCTGTACGGTCTACCTAAGACAATCACATAGTCACATATATCTCATTGCATTTGACATATTCTGTTGGTTAATGTCTTCCAATATATTTATGGAGGGGGCTGGCTGTTGGCTACTGAAGATAATTAATGTGATTCAGTGAGGAGAAGTCTTTCTGAAGAGGGGAGATTTTAGCTGAGAACTCAAATGATGAAGAGTCAGCAGTGAGAAGATGGGGGACAGGGATGAGGAACATTCTGGGAAGAAGGGACAGAAAGTGGGAAATGTAGCTATGCCCACAGACAAATATTATCATACCATTATAACATTGTATTTTGTTTCTGTGTCTGTTTTCTCCATCATTCAGTAAGCTGTACAAATTATCTCAGAATCTTCAACACCTATTTTATAGTAGATAGTAAATTTGTTTAATAAATGGATGTATTTATTAATTTAGGAATCATTTTATTAAGTTTTCATTTATCAGGAACTTCAGAGATATAAAATGATCATGTGAAGGCCTGTGCCCACAATGAACTCACAGTTGTGTGGAGCAGAGTTGCAAACAATTACAATTCAAGGTGATCCATGCTATTGGTACTATTATAGTGTTGGAAGAAAGAATGAAGTCTCACTCTTTTTGGGGGATTTGAGGAAAACTACATAATGGTAGTAAAGTTAGCACTGAGTCTTCAAAGATACCTAAATTAGTTGGGGTGCATAAATAGGAAAAGGCATTTTAGGCAAAGGAATCAGCTTGAGCAAGGGCTTGGGAGTGACAAAGCATATAGCTGGTTTGCAAAACCCCCAAGAAGTTTAGGAGTAAACAAAACCAGGAGTATGTATGGAAAGATGGACAGCATGCCAGGAGGCTTATTCAATAAATGTCTATGGATCACATCAAAAGGACAAAGAAGTCAGCTCTAAGGTGTGCCACTAGCCTAACAGGATCATTTGAGTATCATAAATAACAATGGATTAAGACACATCAGATTTGTAAAATGTATGCATTCCTAATGATACTAAACAAACAAAATCTTACTGGCTAACACTGGAGGTTGCTAGGGCACCAACTCATTTCTCTGAAATTTTATAATAAAGTGAAAAACCACAGCATTTATCCAGTCTTTCTTCTAGGATCCCGGTATTTCAGGATAACCAATGAGTTGGTGAAAATTGTTTTTTTTAAAAAAGATTTTATTTATTTGAGAGAGAGAGCATAATCCGGGTGAGGGGCAGAGGGAGAAGCAGACTCCTCCTTGAGCAGGGAGTCCAACAGGGAACTTGATCCCAGGACTCCAGGATCATGACCCGAGCTGAAGGCAGACCCTTAACCAACTGAGCCACCCAGGCCCCCCAAAGTTTTTTTTTTATAGAATCCCAGCTAATAAAGAAAATCATTAAAAGTATTAGAAATCTACTGTTAAAAGACTTAAGAGCTATACCAAAATGCAATGTGAAGATTTCTTTTTTGATCTTTTGATAGGAAAAAAACAACTATTAAATGACATTTTGGCTTTAAAAACCAGGTTAATTTGAACATGCACTATTAGATGACATTAAGGAATTATTAATTAGATGTGATAATGAAGTTAAAAAAATCCGTATCAGTTTGAGATGCATATTAATTTAAGGGTAAAATAATGTCTGGGATTAGTTTCAAAATACTCAAGCACGGAGCGGGAGAGGGGATGAAACTAGATTGGCAAAATGTTAATTGTTGATTCTTGGTGACTGGTACGTGAGGGTTATTAAAAGTGGATTCACTTTTGCCTATGTTTAAAATTTTCCTTAATAGTTTTAAAAAGCAGAAGTCCCGCGGAAAGGGGATGTCCGAAATGAAAGACCCCAACTATTCTAGGAGATTCTCAGATTTCCCAGGGCTTTCCGAGAGTTGTGAACTGTAATTGCCGAATCGGGGCTGGATTTGAGCAGCAGATTCCGGCTCTCCGGGAGCTGACCCAGGGTGGGCGGTTGAGAGCTCAGAGCAGTTTTGGGAGCATAGTGGGAAGCGAGGACATATTTCCCCAACCCGGCGGCCTCCCCTCCTCAAGCCTGCCTTTCTTTTCAATCTTCCTTCCCTCCGAGCCCCACATGCCGCTCACGCACTTGGACGAAACTCTTTTTCTCCTATTCTTCCTCTCCAGCGCCTAGCTCCACCCCTAACTCTTCTTGACCCTACCTGTCCTCTCCCACCACAGCCCCGCCCCTTCCGTTTCTAGCCCCGCCCCATGTATTCGCCCCGCCCTTCCCCCTGCTCCTCGCCCCGCCCCTTATCTCGGCGCTGAGGAGGAGGTTACCATAGCGACCGTGCACACAGCAGCTAGGCGTCCCTCGTTGGTCCCCGGCTGGCCGGAGGGAAGAGGCGACACCATGAGCCATGTGGTGACTATCGAGGAGCCCCAGGCCAACCCGCAGGTGTCTCAGACCCGGTGCGGGATCAGGTCGGGGGCCTGGGGCAACGTCTCCTCCAATCGACAGTATGATTTTCTGTACGGTAAGGGTGGCACCAGACCTCCCTCCTGAGGTACTGAGTCCTGGGCTGGGTGGGCTTCGGGACGGTGGGACCGGGCCAGGGGCCCGGTGAGCGGAAGATGAGCCTCAGGACGGATCCCTTGTCCGCGGTTATCCTTTGTTGGGTGGGAGCAGCTCCGAGCTCCGCAGGTGGCGGCGCTCTCCGGGCGCGTCGGAAGCCCCAGGTGCGCTCAGAGTCTCGGAGCACCGCGCGGGATCGCCTTACTGCTCGCCACCTGTTACCACCTTTTCCTGATAATTTGCACAGCCTTAAGTAATCTTCCCGAAACCTGTTTCCGGTGTTTTGCTATCCAAAAAAGTATGTAATGATTTGCAGGCTTGGAGATTCACTCAACATTCCCACGTTCAAACTGTGTAAAGTGCCCGACAAAAATGACCTTCCCGCCCCCATTCTCCGGGCAACTCCAAATTTGGCTTTGTAGATAAAGGAGTAGCAGTTTATCTCACGTTTGTTTCTAGTTTTTCTCTTTTAAAAAAAAAACTTATTGTTACTCATCAAAGCATTGCTTATAAACTAGGTCCACTGGATTCTTTTGGGTCAATAAAGACAGGCCCAGTTTGTTTTAATGCCCTGCTTGTCCGTTTGTGTTCTGTCTCTTTTACTGGACCTTAAGTTTCTTGAGTTCTTAGGTACTTGTTTTATACAGTTTTCCAGCCTTCTTAGCACCTATTCCAGTGTTGGTACATATGCAAGGTACTTCATAAATGCTTAGTGAATTTTGAATTTACTATTAAAAGAATTTTAATCAGTTAAACATGATTTTTTCTAATTTTGCCCTCATCAGTCCCATGCTCTTCACCTGAACCTTGCATTGCTTTTAACCATGTGGTATCTCCTCTAAGATTCCCAGGATCATCTTTGGATGGGAATCCACAGGTTACCCATTTCCTGGTATAGGGGCTATGTAATGGTTGCTTACATTTTATAGCCAGTGGTTTTCTTTATCCATTCTTGGTTTCATTTTGTAAAATAAGTCTAGTAAATTGTAAACACATCACCGTGTTGATTTCAAAGGTAATTTGGAAATTGGATAGACCTCTTCAGTAAAGACAGGCAGACAATTTACCAAGCTTCTTGTCTCTTTTATTCTTAAAAGTATTCCTTTCTCTCTCTCTCTTTTTTGCAGGGAGATGCTAAATGTTTCCATGTCCCTTGCAAGGAACAGAAACCCACTCAAAATAGGCCAAATAAAGTTTGGATTGTTCCAATAAAACAGGCAGTCTCACAGCTATTAATGGACAGGAAGCATAGTATAGCCAGGACAAAGTAGAACCAAGACAGGGAAGGTCAGAACTAAGGTATGGTGCCCTTCTGCGTGATTTCTTAGACCTTATGGTTTTTTATCTTGTTTAGGTTGTCAGATTTAGCAAGTAAAAATACAGGATGCACAGTTAAATTTGAATTTGAAATAAATAACGAATAATATTTTAGTATATTTATTTATATATTTAGTATAAATTTTTGGCCCCATGCAATATTTGTGATCTATTTATATAAAAAGTTATTCATTGCCTATATGAAATTTAAATTTAACTGGGCATCCTGTATTTTATCTGTCAACAGATATGTTGCAGAATGTGTAGTCATAAATCATACAGTATTGTGCCATTATCTTCTCTAGATGGCAGGAATGTTTCTATGGATAGCACGTCTTTGTACTCCTTATGGAAAGAAGAGGAGAATAGTTTATAATTTATTATTCAGATTTAGGGGAAATGCAGGCTAAACTCATTTAAGATGAACAACACAGTTGGAACCATAGACCCAATGACATCTTTTAAATCACTTAAAATAAGAGTATGAATAGAAATTTCCCATTGGGGACGCCTGGGTGGCTCTGTCAGTTAAGCATCTGCCTTCGGCTCTGCTTCTCCCTCTCCCTCTGCCTGCCGCTCCCTGCTTATGCTCTCTCTCTCTGTCAAATAGATAAATAAAAAATCTTAAAAAAATTTCCCTTTGTCCCTAATATATCAGACATGTTGAAGCTATAGCCTTTGTCCCTTTAAACAGGTGCATTCATTCAGCCTTCAAATTCATGAGCCTGTAATTTGAGGTCATAAAATCTGGCCTCATCATTCCTAATCAGCCCAGTTTCCATCACTTCTCAACTTGAATCATAGGTGTGGATTTGGGTGCTGCAGCTAAAGAAGAGTATATTAAAGATGATGATTCCCAAATTCATATCACTGGTCCAGACTTCTCTCCCAAACTCTAGATTCTTATATCAAATTGCCTACTTCATTTCTCCACTTGGACATATAATAGACACCTAAGGCATGCTTTTCATGTTCTCCCTACAAACCTGCTCCACCACAGGCTTTCCTGTGTCAATTGATACCAATCCCATACTTTAGTTGCTAAGTCTAAAAATCTTGGAGCCATCATTGTCTCATCTCTCTCTCTCTCTGACACACACCATTCCAATCCATTAAGTCCTCTCTGGTCCCACCTTAAAAATATATCTAGAATCCTGCCCCATTTCATCACTTCTCTTGCCACCACCATCATTTCTTCTCTAAGCTCACTGCATGAGCCTCCTAATAGGTCTCCCTGTCTTTTCCATTGTTTCCATGCAGTCTGTTCTTCACTGGGCAGCCACAATGAACATTTTATTATTTTTTTAAAGATTTTATTTATTTATTTTAGAGAGAGAGCACATGAGTGAGTGGGCAGAGGGGTAAAGGGGTAGAGAGGGAGGGGAGAAGGAAAGAGAGAGAATGCCAAGCAAACTCCACACTGAGTGCAGAGCCCTATTTAGGGCTCAATCCCACAAGCCTGAGATCATGACCTGATCTGAAACCAAGAGTCGGATGCTTAACCGCCTGAGCCACCCAGGAGCCCCTACAATGAACATTTTAAAATGTAAGTCAGATTTTGTCACATCTTGTCTCAAAATCTTGAAATGGTTTCCCTCCTCACTCAGATTAAAAGCCAAAGTCTTGTCAGTGGTCCACAAAGCCCCATGTGATCTAGGCCCCTGGTAACTTGCCTGACCTTTTATCTACCATATTTTGCTTCTCTCACTCTGTTTCAATCCTGTTGGTCTCTGCTGTTCTTCAAACATGTCAGGCATGCTGCCATCCTAGGGCCTTTGCTCTAGCTGTTTCCTCTGCCTCAAATGCTTTTCTTTCAGATAACAGTATAGTTAACTCCCCACTTGCAAGTCTCCTTAAATGTCACCCCTTGGGGCACCTGCGTGGCTCAGTCAGGTTAAGCATCTGCCTTTGGGATCGAGCCCCATGTCGGGCTCACTACTGCTTCTCCCTCTCCCTCTGCTGCTCCCCCTGCTTGTTCTCTCTCTTTCTCTCTCCTCTCTCTCTGTCAAATAAAATTAATTAAAAAAAATCTTTAAAAAAAAAAAAAAAAAAGTCACCCCTCAATGAGGCCTGGCCTGCCCTGACTCCCCTGTGTAAAATTGCAATCCAGTCTCCATTACCTGCTCTTTCCCCACTTTTTAAAATAACACTATCCTCTAACATATTATATAATATGCTAATTTGTTGTGTTGTTTATTGTCTCTCTCTCATGAAGTCAGGGATCTTTATCTTTTTCTTGATATGTTCCAGGCACCTTGAACATAGTAACCTGTCAATAAATCTTTCTTGAATGAAAGAGAGCTGAGCCTCTTGTAGTTTTTCAACCTTGGGAGAATATTAAATGTCTGCATTCAATATATCATTTTTGTTGGGTAACTGAGGAGTTATTAGACTCTAGGAATTGACTCACATTATCTAAATTAAATTAAATTTAAATTACTTATAAATCACAATAACAATTATTAATTTCTGTGAATAAATATGTTGCCAAGTCATCTAGACTAGTTGGTCAAGGTATTTGTTTCTCAAGAGATATCTACTAGGGAAATCAAGTCTCTATCTGAAGGTTGCTTATGAATTTAATATCATATTGTTTAATTTTAAGGGATGGTATAATCGATCATAAATATTCTTCATTGCTTTAAAGATATACCTAACAAGTCCATACTTATAATAATAGGGCAATCTTTTGTGGAACTTTGGAGAAAAAACTTAGTCCCATCATCAACATCCTTCTAAATTTAAGGAGCGAATTATAGCTGATTTTATTTATTTATTATTAGAGAATGACATTTTCCTACTATGTTTATCAATTCTGAGGTGACATGTTGTTAAGAGTTTGTATCTTTCCCTTGTACTGAATATGGGAGGTAGTGCCCCCAATGTGTTATTTCTTTTACTTGTAAATGGGTGTAGTTAGCATATACAGGGTCTCTCATCTTAGAGTATTTCCTGGGCTACCCAGACCCAGAAAGTGGTTTGTTCATAGGAGAGAAAAGACGGTGTGTTTAGGCTCTGGTGCTTGAGGACATCTCAGGCCTACTTTTTGCCTTGCAATTCTATAACCTGACTTTGGAATATACAGAGGAGAAATGCATCTAACAGACTCTCACTTGTGATAGAGTAACAGGGCAATGAGCTACTGTAGAGTTAGGTAATATCTAAATCTTGTAATTTTTTTTCCAAATAAGAAATTACATTATTTTGCCATTATTCTCAGTCTAGATATATTCCATTCCTTATACCACCTTATTGTTTATTTTGCAGATCCATTGTTTATTGTGTCAAGTGAGAAAGACCACACACAGGCAAATATCCAAGCTAACCTGATTCGAAACAGACTGGTAGGTCTAATTCAATCACTAAGGCAGCCTAATGAACTTGAACTATCCAGTTTTGCTAACCACACTAATCAGATTGACTAATCATGAGATCTCCAGTGGATTTTATATTCTGCAGAAATTACTCTGCCATGATTACTAGGGGATAAAACATCTTGATACTTGTGGCCCAATGTGAAGATTAATTAACTAATAGTGAATAAAGGACTCATTATAACCTAATTTATTTCAGTGGGAAAAGTTATATATGCCTGTGTTAAGTTAAAAGAATTCAAGTAGTACAAAAACATATACAGTATGAAATAAATTCTAACCCTCATCCCCCTTCTCATAATCATCCACTGTTATCATTTTCTTGGGTATCTTTCTAGAGATATTCTATGCACATACAATTACCCTTCTTTCTATGCTACATACACTATTGTGTACCATTTAAAATTTACAATAACAAAATGCTTTAGAAAATCTGATGGTAAAATTTTGTCCTTTTCCTCCCTATCTCCCTGTCCTAATTTTAGAGAAAAGTTCCCAGGTTTAGAAGCATGTTCAGTAACCTGATCCATTATCCAAGATATTCTCTGTATTGGAGCAAGGCAGACCCTGTCCCACCATTCATCCGCCGGGAATGGAAAGGACAGGAGGAGAAACACAGAGAAGCCCTTGGGCAGCTTGCCATGTAAGTGTCAGGTAGCTTTGGGGGCTACTCATGTTTTTAATGAATGCATTTTTCTTCTTAAGATTTTTTATTCTGCATTTTTTAAAAGTATAATTGGGATGTTACACCTAGGTCAATTGACCCCAAATTCTCTCTCTTAAACCCCCTAGCCAAAACAAGCCTGATTCAGGGGCAGTGGTTATGGTTTATGGGTTAGTAGATATTCTCAGAAGCTTGGAGTGAATATATATATATATTAAATGACAATTTGCCACCAAAGGTAGAGGTGACTGAATTTGTTTCTTTGATCCATCTTAGAAATTGCAACTATACACTTCTGCTAGTATCTAAATATATATATATATATATACATATTTGGAGATCTGCAGCCAAAGCACCTTCAGAGACAAGTCTCTTGAATTCTTTATTCTTTTAATTATTTATAAGTCATACCTAGTAAATTAAAAGAAAAAAGCTACCTTTCAGCCTGGACATAAAAATATCTCTTAAAACTCTATTATTCCTATGTACTATTAATTAAAAGTGTGCATTTTTGTATGTGAGATTTCATAAATCTACTCTTTTCTTACTCTTACTTCCCCTTGTTAGCTCCCAGTTTCCTGCTCAGGGAAAGTAATTATTATGTAGTCTGAGATAGGTCAGTCAGATGCATGTTATAGAAGACTTTGCTCTCAGTCTCAGATACCCTGTGTATCTCCCACTTTACAGACATAAAAATATGAAATAGAAATTATATTTGGAACTAATATGTTAGAGTTTAATAATGTTTTCCTGCTTCATTTTAGAACTGATAAGTCTTTTCAGATGGCTAAAGAGGCTTATGAAGATCCTGAAATTACTGGAAGGAATCGCTATAAATATTTTGAAAGGTAAGAAGTAATTACTAATGAAAATGAGCCCTGATATTATTAGACAATGTCTTTATGACAATGATAGCAGCTATCAGTTTTGAGTGCATGCAGTGTGTCAGGTACCAGTTTAAGTGCTTTATATATATAATCAATTCTCTTTTTAGATTGTATTTTTAAGTAATCTCTACACCCAACGTGGGGCTCCAGCTCACAACCCTGAGATCAAGAGTTGCATGCTCTACCAAGTGAGCCAGCGAGGTGCCCCTATATAATCAATTTTTACAACAGGAATGTAGGATAAGATATATTATCCCTATTTATCAGTAAGGAAGCTGAGACGAAGAGAGGAAAAATAAATTACTTGAAGTCTCTTAAGTAAGCAAGTGGCAGATCTGGGATTCCAGCTAAATCTGCCTAACTTCAGAGGTACTAGCTGTAAATAAGAATGTATATTTGAGAACAAAATGAAGTCATCAAATCAAGTGAGATACAGCAGAGACATCATGACAGTATAGTACATGGGAAATTGTTATAAGTGGCCAATAGGCAACATTCACTGTCTTTTTGTGAATGTTGCCAAAACCAATATGGTCGAAAGTTTCACTTTGTTTCATTTGTGATCAATACTCATGTGATAATCATATAGTCAGATTAAAATAAAATGAGGGTCTCCCTATAGGTCTTCTGTGGTTAGAGAAATAGTCTTGATGCCATATGTACATAAGCTTCCTTGAGAAAGTAAATTTGTAACCCACGTTGTTATTTGTGAGCAACCTCTTTAGAGAAGTTTTATAATGCTGACTTTTTAGAGCAATGTTAAATTTTCAACACAGTGTACTCAATTCCTAGACTTTCTGAGGGTAGTTTTTAAAACTAAATCACTGAGAATTTCAGAATGTCTCAGGGAACTAGAGAAGTTGCTGGGAGCTCATGACCAGCTGAAGCCCAGGTATAAGGCATTACTTCTGAAAGTATGATTTCTTTACCATCTGCAGGGAAAACATTGGAATGTCTATTACAAATGCAGATTCATTAGCTCTGTCTTAAATCTACTGGATCTCCTGGGCTGGAATTTGTAATTTGCATTTTAAACAAAAATCTCCCCACTCTCCAGTGATTTTGTGTTTGTCCAGGTTTGAGGATTAGCAATACAGGTTATTCAAGCTCACTGATTTTAAGGGACTAATATGAGAGTTGGAATAAAGCCCAGAGAGCACACAGTGTAAAAGTCCCACACGTTTGTGTTCTTCTTTCTCCACCAGGCCTTTCCTTCCATTTCATCAACAGATGCCATTTAATGTTGTTTTTGCAGCAACCAAGTAAGTAACCATTATTTTACAACTTTTTTTCCTAGTTGTTTATTTATTGTTTGTTCCCATATTTGTTTCCAGAAGTTCTGTAAATCAACATTTTTCAAATTCCAGATCACAAATCATTAGAAAGTCATGACATATTTTAGTGGGTGATGAACAGTATTTTAGCAAATGAAATAGAAAATAACCAGAAGCATCAGATACATTGAGGGTAAATTGCCTTTTTGCTAATAACTTCTGTTTTGGATAGATATATACATTTTTTCATATGTAATGATTATGATGTAAAATGTATTTCTTATTACGTGTTATGGTAAAAATAAAAGTTAAAAAATGCTTTAAATATCATCTTTTGCTTCCCTGAAACGCACATTTATTTGGGAACAGCTCTTCAACATTTTATCAAGAAAACTAATCAGTTATAAAATAGTTTTTGAGTACTGGAAGTTCATAATTTAATAATCATAATCTACACAAGGTAATTTAATATACGAAGATCAATGCAACATGGTTTCTGTCCCACAGAGGGGTGGACCAAGGTGAGAGAGAGGTAAAGGACAAGGGCCGAATCTGGGATGAATGTGCAGTTCTCCAGTCTTGTTTTAGGGCTATACTGTTTCCTGAGTCAGTATAACTTAATTTGTGTATAAGAGAAAAAAATAAAATGATCAGGAAAAGAAACCTTTTTTAAGGTATCACATTTCTGAACAGAAATTTAGATAGGGCTTCGCTTTCAAACAAGCCTTTAAAGGATACCCTAACGATACAGCATTTTATGAATAGAATATATGTTATCAAATGTCTGTAATCCTCAAGATAAGTGCCAGTTGTGAACCTGATTCTCTGATTTTTTAATTCTTTTTTGAAGATTATTTATTTATTAGAGAGTGCATGAGCAGGATGGCGGGGGGGCGGGGGGCGCGTATGCAGACTCCCCACTGAGCAAGGAGCCTGACACGGAGCTTGATCCCAAGATCATGACCTGAGCCAAAGGCAGACACTTACCTGACTGAGCCACCCAGGCACCCCTCTCCTCTGATTTTTTAAGACTATGCCTGGATACTATTGGCTCTTATATAGATGGAGAATAGATTTCTTGCCCTCCCCCTAGAGAGATCAACTTTGTGTGGTGTCAGTTTACTTGGGGACAGCTACAGACTTGTTTTCAGTGAAATGCTCTGTATGAGAAAAGGAGAACATATGAGATTGGTGGATCCCTATAGATACTTTTGATAGTTCTTTAAAAGCAGGCTTAGTGGATCACCTACTATGGAGGTAATAATTACATCAGGTCTAAAAGTTGTTTAATTAATTGTGGGGAGTTCTGAGGTCTACGGCGATGAACACTGAGCCTCTTCTTTTCTAAATAACTGTGACAGGGGAGATTCCCTATAAGAATTAAACCGTAACGGTTGACATCTTAGATACTCTTTGTCTTTCTTAGAAGTTTTTAAAGAATTAATCAGTATCCCTGAATGAAGTCAACTCTGGGATTCTGGCAGGGTTCAATTTCTGAGCAATGAGGATAATCCACCTTATGTTAGCAGGGATAGAATTGTCTGGGGGACCAGCTGGCCTTCTCCAGCCATACCCTTTTCATGGTTAGCTGTTGGAGTCTTTACTTTGGACTCATGTAAGCATCTTGGGGAAAAGGATAAAAAGTTAACATTTTTAAAAAGTTCAGTGGTGGATTTTAGTTCCACATGTAAGGAGCTTGGCAGTTGCCATCTGTCCTAACAACAAGTAAGAAGCTGAACAAACTGAAAAAGCAACAACTTTTCTTGGATCTGTAAGAAAAAGGGAGAATTCAGGACAAACTGCTCCCCTAAGATTAGAGAGGCATGTTTACAAGGAGGCATGGCTTCCCAGAATCCTAGAGATTCATGAGTGGAAACCACTCCAGAAACCAAGTCCAGGTAGGAAAGCCTGAACAATAATTGATGAATTGCTGGAGGCTCTGAGAATTAAATTCTAGGGGGACCTAGTCATTGGGGTTCCCACAATTTTGTGAGATTTACCTCCAGGACCTCAACTAGGTTCTCACAGGGCATTTGGGGAAAAATCCCCTCATGCTCTTGGTAGGGGGAGTGGAAAGGAAACCATTTTGAAATATGCCAGAGCACTCTGTTCTTCTTAACAAGGTCAACCGTTAGGAGAAACTAGTTAACCAGAGCCTAACCTGCTGGGTATTATTAGAGCCTAACTGACCTGGGGGTAGGAAAATATGCAACTCTAGCCTCCTCTAGCCATCTTGCCCCACCTAGGAGGGGGGTGGGGAGAAAAAACTGAGAAACACTTAAGAAATTCACAGTCCATATACATAGGCTCACCAAAAGACTGAGACATAATCATAGGATAATAGAACACTTATCTTCCCCCCCCTCCTCACCTCACCCCCACATTACTAAAGGCCTATTTACAGTAGTTTTTCTTACCCAGTACATTATGTGTAGCAGTCAAGAAACAAAAGGCATACTGAAAGGCAAAAAACACAATTTGAAGAGACAGCATAAGCATTAGAACCAGACATGGCAGTTATGTTGGAATTACCAGATCAGGAATTTAAAACAACTATGATTAACATGCTAAGGGGCTCTAATGGATAAAGTGGATAGCATGCAAGATCAGATAGACAATGTATGCAGAGAAAAGGAATCTTAAAGAACTAAAAAAAGAAATGCTAGAAATAAAAAATGCTGTAACAGAAATGAAGAATACCCTTGATGGGCTCATTAGTAGGCTGGACATAGCTTAGGAAAGAATTTTGGAGCTAGAAGATATAACCATAGAAAGCTATAAAACTGGAAAGCAAAGAGAATAAAGACACAAAGACTGAAAAAAAGGAACAGAATATCCAAGAACTGTGGGCAACTACAAAGATATAATAAATGTGTAATGGAAATACCAGAAGAAGAAAGAGAGAAAGGAACAGAAGACATATTTGAAACAATAATGACTGAGGATTTCCCCAAATTAATGTCAGACACCAAACTACAGAGTTAGGAAGCTCAGAGAACACCAAGCAGGATAAATGCCAAAAGAAGTACACTGAGACATATCATATTCAAACTAAAGAAAATCAAGATAAAGAAGAAATTTTGACAGAATCTAGAGGACAAATATGCCTTACTTATAGAGGAACAAAGATGAGAATTACTTCTGACTTCTCAGAAATCATGTGAGCAAGAAGAGAGAGAAGTGAAAATTTGAAGTGTTGAGAGAAAAAAAAAATCAACCTAGAATTCTGTATCCTATGAAATTACCTTCAAAAGTGAAGGAGAAATAAAAACTTTCTCAAACAAAAATTGAGGAAATCTGTTGCTATTAGACCTGCCTTACAAGAAATGTTAAAAGAAGTTCTTTAGAGAGAAGGAAAATAAAAGTCAAAAACTTGGATCTGCATAAAGAAAAGATGGAATAAATGAAGATAAAATGAAAAGTTGTGTTTTTTAATCTGACAGTTGACAGTTTGTTCAAAATAATAACAACAATGTATTTGGAAACATATATGCAGTTGATACACAGTTGACTCAAAAATATGGGGGTTGGGGCACTGAACCTCGCATATTAGAAAATCCATGCATAACTTTGACTCCCCCAAAACTTATCTACTCATAGCCTACTGTTGACTGGAAGCCTTACCAATTATATAAACAGTTGATTAACACATACATATTTTGTATATTTATTATGTACTATATTTTTTACAGTAAAGTAAGATAGAGAAAAAATGTTAAAATCACAAGAGAAAATACATTTATAGTACGGAACAAAATTAAGAAAAAAAATCCATGTGTAGGTGGATCTATGCAGTTAAAACCTGTGTTGTTCAAAGGTCAACTGTGTGTGTGTGTGTATGTGTGTGTGTGTGTATGCTTATGTATGCTTATATTTAAGTAAAATGAATGACAGCAATGATAAAGAGATGGAAGGGAAGAATTAGGATTGTTTTGTTAATTATATGAGGTGTGTGTGTTGTCAACTATATGTTGTCAACAAGAAATCCACTTTATTTTTTTATTAAGTTTTTAAATTTTAATTCCAGTATAGTTAACATACAATGTTATATTAGTTTCAGGTGTACAATATAGTGATTCAACCAGTTCTATACATTACTCAGTGTTCAGCATGATAAATGTACTGTTTAATCCCCATCATCTATTTCACCCATCCCCCCCAGCTACCTCCCCTCTAATAACTATCAGTTTGCTCTCTATAGTTAAGCGTCTATTTTTTGTTCTCTCTCTTTTTAAAGAAACCCACTTTAATTATAAAGACACATATAGATTTTCTTTTAAGAATTTATTTTTAAGTAATGTCTACACCCAGTGTGGGGCTTGAACTCAAAACCCTGAGATCAAGAGTCACAAGGCCCACCAACTGAGCAGCCAGGCACCCCATAATGTGTCCTTTTTTTTTCTTTAATGTATACTGTATGCCCAGTGTGGGGCTTGAACTCACAACCCCAAGATCTAAGAGTTGCATGCTCTATTGACTGAGCCAGTCAGGTGCCCTGAGACACCTATAGATTAAAAGTAAATTGGTAGAGAAAAATACATTATGCCAGCACTAATTAAAAGAAAGCTGCAGGAGTTATACTAATTTCAAACAGAGCAGACTTCAAAGCAAGGAAGATTATCAGGGATAAAGAGAGGCATTACACAATGATAAAAGGCTCAGTTCTCCAAAAAGACATACATTATTTCATGTGTATGCACCTAACAGAATATCAAACTACATAAGGCAAAAACTAATAGAATTACAAAGAGAAATGGATGAATCCATTATCATAGTTGGAGACTTTAATACCCTTCCCGTAGAAATGGACACATCTAGCAGGCAGGAAATCAGTAAGGCTCTAGTTGAACTCAAGAACACCATCAATCAACTGGATATAATTGATATCTACAGACTACTTCATCCAACAACTGCAGAATACATATTCTTCTCAAGTTCACATGGAAGATTCACCATGATAGAGTACATTCTGGGCCATAAAACACAAT